AGATATTGGAATTCGGAGGTATGCTTACCTCTGAATCTTAATTTATTTAAAAAAAAAATAATAATTTTTTATTTATATTATATAGGTTCTGGATGGAACCTATCGATGATTTTGAAATTCGGAGGTATACTAACTTCTGAATCTTTAATTTATTTTTTAAAAAAAAAATAATTTTTATTATATTATATAGGTTCCGGATGGAACCTATTGATGATTTTTGGAATTCGGAGGTATGCTTACCTCCGAATCTTAATTTATTTTAAAAAAATAATTTTTTATTTAACAAACGCCACTAATGTTCGTTTTTCATATTTTTAAGTCCTGGAAGCTAAAGTACGGCTCCGGACATTTTTTTTTAATTAAGTTATCTAACGAACGTTGCTAACGTTCGATTATAGATCCTGGACACTGAAGAACGGTTCCAGACATTTATTTTGAAGGTAAAACCTTTACCTTCAAAATTTTTTTTTATATTTTTGTTTAACAAACGTCGCTAACATTCGTTTTTCTTTTTTTTTAGGTAAAGGAAGCCGAAAGAACTTCCATATCAAAGGTAAAATCTTCGATTTTTTTTTTATTATTTTATTTAATGAACGTTACTAATTCTAACGTTCATTTTTTACTTTTCGTAGGTACAACCGTACAAGAAACCGAAAGGCAGGTTCCGGTCTCCTATTTTGAAGGTAAGGCTTCAAAATTTCATTTTACTTTTTTTCTTTTATTTTAGCGAAAAGTTTACTAACGTTTCATTTTTCTTTTTTGTAGGACTACGGCATTCCGGACGCTTTGTGGGCTCCATTTCGAAGGTATATTATCCTTTATATTCTTCGAAAGTGTTTATTTTTATTAGTTTTTTTTACAAACGTTAACTAACGTTCGTTTTCATTTTTGTAGGTCCAAGACGCCGAAAGTACATGTCTCGGATTTAATTTCGAAGGTAAATAACTTCGAAAAAAAAGGAGTCTCTTTTTTTTTTAACGAACGTTCACTAACGTTCGTTTTTCTCTTTCTTTGTACGCTGAAGGACTTTAATTTCGAAGGTATTTCTTCAAAATTCTTTTATTTTTTTTATTTTATTGTTGTAAAAGAACGTTTCTAACGTTCTTTATTTTTTTTTTTTTAGATTTTCGGCTCTCTGGTTTCAGCCTGGACGGAATTTTCAACATGGTTAGTTTCGTAACGAACTTTTCGTTACGAAACTATTTTTTTTTTATTTTATTTAAACGAAACGTTACTAACGTTTCGATTTCTTTTTCTTTTGTAGGTTATCCGGTAGCCACCTGGATTGGATGGGATTTCGAAGGTGAAACTTCGAAATTATTGTATTTTCATTTTTTATTTGAACGAAACGTAAACTAACGTTTCGATATTATTCTTTCGTAGGTTGGCGGCTTCCTGTAACCCTTCTGAAAAGAATTTCGAAGGTATACTTCGAAATTCTTTTACTTTTTTTATTATTTGTGACGAAACGTTACTAATTTTTCAGTTTTCTTTTTTTTTGTAGTTTGACGGCTTCCTGTGAACCTTTCCGATTACAACATTCAAAAAGAATCCACTCTTCCATCTTTCTCCGTCTTCGTGACGATATGCAAATTTTTGTTAAAAAACTATTACTTTGGAAGTTGAGTCTTCTGGAATGAATTTTGAAGGTAAACTTTGAAATTCTTTTACTTTTTTTGTTTTTTTATTTGAACGAAACGTTTACTAACGTTTCAATTTTCCCTTTTTACGGCTGTCCAGATGCCTTCTGGATGAAATTTCGAAGGTAAAACTTCGAAAAAATAATTTTTTTTGTTTTATTTTAACAAATGTTTATTGACGTTTGTTTTTATTTTTGTAGATCCAGGATGCTGCCGGACTTTCATATCGAAGGTAAAACCTTCAAAAATTATTTTTTATTAATTAATTTATTGACGAACGTTAACTAACGTTCGTACATCTTTTTTTTTAGGTAAAGGAAGCCGAAAGACAAGTTCCGGACTCCCATATCAAAGGTAAAACCTTCCAAAATTATTTTTTATTAATTTATTTGACGAACGTTAGTAACGTTCGTATTTCTTTTATTTTAGGTCCTGGGTTCCCATTTAAAGAACTTCAAAAGTAAATACTTTGAAGTTTCTTTTTTTTTTACTTCTTTAACAATCGTTATATTAATGATCATTTTTTCTTCTATGTTTAGGTCCCAGACTGCTGGGTTAGATATTTCAAAGCTGCTTGCTTCGAAATTTTTTTTCGTTTGTAGGTATCCGTTGTTCGTTGGAATCGAACCAACTGGAACAATATCCAAACTATTAACAACATGTAAATGTGCAGTAAAGAGATGATGAATAGCAATGACTAGTAATAGATTTCAATTGTATTTGTAAACTTGTTAATATATAATAAANTGCAGTAAAGAGATGATGAATAGCAATGACTAGTAATAGATTTCAATTGTATTTGTAAACTTGTTAATATATAATAAAAAAGTAATTTTGATTATATAAATAAATTAGTAATTAATGCAATAAATTAATTTGTATTATTGTGACGCAGATTTTTACTGAAAAAAATTGCTGAGGTATTTCGAAGGTTTTTATTTAAAAATCTGCGCAGAACTTTGTTATTTATAAAATTTGCGCAGTTTTTTATTGGATTTTTCCTCTAATGTTTTGCGCCAGGGTATAAAATCTGCGCAGATATAATTTCTGAAAATCTGCGCAGATCTGCTCCCCAAAAAATTTCCCGATGGATAATGAGAGAGTAAAAATGATGATGAAAAAATATAAAGGAACGAAAAGATGATGAAAGAGTGAAAATGATGATGAAATAACATAAAGGGATGAAATATATGATGAGGAAGTGAAAATGATGATGAAAAAATGTAAACAAATAAAATAGATGATGAGGGAGTAAAAATGATGATGAAAAAGCATAAACAAACAAAATAGATAATGAGGGAGTGAAAATAATGATAAAAAAACATAAACAGATAAAATAGATGATGAAGAAGTGAAAATGATGATGAAAAAATGTAAAGAGATGAAATAGATGATAAGGGAGTAAAAATGATAATGAACAAACATAAACAAATAAAATAGATGATGAGGAAGTGAAAATGATGATGAAAAAATGTAAAGAGATGAAATAGATGATGAGGAAGCGAAAATAATGATGAAATAATGTAAAAGGGATGAAAGGATAATGAAGGAGCAAAAGTAATAATAAAAGTATAAAAGAAACAAAGTGAAAGTGATAAGAAAGTGATGATAAAACAAAGAGAAAGCAAAAGGAATGATATAAAGAATAAAAAGAATAAAAAACTGATTAGTATTGTAACTACTATTTAGTAATAAAAAAACAATAACAATAAAACAGTAAGAAAGCAAACCTTACCTTAAATTCCTTGAAACTATTTGAAATTATTGTTATCTAAAGAAGACGAAGTTAGCAAAAAGCAAGCAAAAAAAATAAAAAAAATTTATTTTCAAAACAAAAATATTTTAACGTGTAAAAAGTGTGTAGTACAAAATCACCTGGTGAATTTCACTGGGGTAAAATTAAAATTTTAATAATTTGCAGATCAAGGTGAAATTCACCAGAGGTAAATGTAAAATTAATCCTATTTTTTATTATTTTTTTAGGTATTGGTGAGACCCTTTACTTTAAATTAGTAAATTTCAAAAATTTCATTTTTTTGAAACTTTAATTTTTTTTACTTTTTTTTAAAAAATTTTTTTCTTTTATTTTGTAGGAATTTTTGGGAATAATAAGTTTTGAAAGTAATATTTACTTTTGAAACTTTATTTTTTTTTATTTTGTAAATATCGGTTGTGATCTTTGAAATCATAAATTTCAAAAAAAAAAAATTCTTTTCAAAACTTCAATTGATTTTTTTAATTTTTTCTTTATTTTATAAATATCGGTTAGAACCTTTAGGCAGAATAGTAAGTTTTGAAAAGGATCATGTTTTTTTACAACTTCAAATTTTATTACTTTATTTTTATACAGACACATCAGGAGTCAATTATAACAATTTTAATATGATCACGTGTTAGTGCATTAAAGTATATAACCCAACAGTACCCAGAAAAATTCTTCGATCACGTGATCTGTTTTATTTATCATATCGTCACATCCTGTCCGAGTTTCACTGTTTATATTTATCTGAGGGACTTATTTTTTCAAGTAGATGAAATTCTATTTGTCACGTTTTATTCATCACATCCTAAATACTTCGATCACGTGTCAGTGCTTAACGCCGGCCGAGTTCGAAGAATTTTCTGGGTGCCGTTGGGGTAGTTATTAAAGTAGGATCGCACGTGACGTTCCCTGATGGGTTTGTAGGGGTTTTCTTATTTTACAACTATTTAAAAATCATGTAAATGATGTAATATAATATAACTTTGGTTAATTTTGACTTTAACTTTGATTTGAATATTTAAAAAAGAGTTTGTATATTAAGAATTTCTTTTTTACAAATTTTTGTTACAGAATATACAGTACATTCATTATACGGATTATACGGAGAGGCAAGATATACATTTATTTATATTTTTTTTAACAGTTAAAAAAATTATATTCTAAAAGTTGACAAATAATAAAGTTGATCATGTGGATAATGGTCATATGGGTCATATGATGATGATAGATAAATTTTTTTGTCGCGTCTATTTAGTCTATTTGTCTACGAGTCGTCAGAAAGTCACTCATTTTCGTAAAAGAAATGAAAAAGCATACGCTTCGAAAAACAAAAGGTGAATTACATTTTTTATTTTTTCATTTGAGCTATATTAATTTTTTGGATAATTGCAGGACTTATGACCGCGTGTGAACATGCTGATGCCTTACAAAGTGATCTAAAAACGACCATTATCGAGAGAAATTCAGCTCAAGTTTCATTGAATTCCCCGGAAAAGGCCAAATATATTATAAACAATGCGAATGATAGCTCGTTTCGTTCATATAGTGTAGAAAATAATATAAATACTCCAATTACCTTTACTTTTTCTACTAGCAAAAGTGACCTTTCAAATTACCCTGATAGCAATAATAAAGCAGCATTGACATCAACAAAATTACTTACGAAGTCCAGAATCCTAGAGGAAAGCAATATTAGCAATTTACCAATAAGTTATAGTCAGAATTCAAAAAGTAAAACTACGAAGTCTGATCAATTCGGAGACAATAGCATAATCAAAATTCCCGTACCTGTTTCTACGAGCATTAACGAGTCCAATTTTAAATGTATTTCAGTTGGTAATGATAAATCTCCCGTATTTATGACGGACAATGGTCATAAAGCACCTTTATATTCTATGAATGCTTTAACGAAGGCAGGAATTATAATGAATAATGATGTACAGAATACTATTTCTGTATTATCACATAATGATAATTCACTTCAGGATCATCCGGGTCTTTACGATTCTTCGATTAAAACAAGACAATTATCGGATCATGTACCGAAGAGTTCTGGGTTTTCCACTGCTAGTGGTCGGAGTCTTGCTGCAGTTACAGAAGACTCTCTGACTAGAGCAAGACAGACATTGAGCGATAATACATCTCAAATAATGACATATGAATTAGTTAGTCCTGAATTTTCCATTGCGAATAATCGCAATCTTTCTTATATATCTGATGAATCATTAAATAAAGCACGCAAGTCGTCGCGTGAAATATCTAATCGCAATGATGATATAATAAATAATTCTTGCTTTACTACTGCAGGTGGGCAAAACATTGCAACCATCTCTGATGAATCTATGAAAAGAGTTCGAAGAATATTAAACGACGATTTAAGTCAAAATTTCACTATACAAGAAAAATCACAGATCAATATAGCTGGTAACTATAAGTGGTCTACTTACGTGTAATTTAAACAAAATGATAATAAACTAATCTTGTTATATCTTTAGGTCCTAGTGATTCACAACTTACCGTTGTTAATTCTAATTCACAATCATGCTTAAAAAACAAAAACGCAAAAACGTTCTCGAAAAATATTGTTGCTCATTCGCATACTTTACTCCCTATGAAGAGAAAAAAATTACATCCTCAGGTCTCTCAGAATTCCTCATGTCCGAATAGTCCGTCTTTTTCCAAAATGTCTAAATATAATTCTACCAATAAATTGTTTGATTTAGCATGTAAATCATCAAATACCAATGGTTAATTTGTAAAAAACATTACGTTCATATATTAATTTTTTTAATATACATAGCTCCTATAAGAAGAGTTGGACTTAAAGACACTGTTTCAAATTATCCTCTTAATTTTTCTCCGTCGCATCTGCAAGAACTCGGAATGTAAGTGCTGTATATTTTTGTATTAGAAATCTGAATTTTTCCGGCGAATATATTCATTTATTTTTAAATAAAGATCCAAAGATATTATTAATATGACTCCCAAAAATGCTATGTCGTATCGATTTACTTGGTCTGGAGGATCAGAAAATATAGATTGCTCATCAATATGGGGCCCAATTGAAGCTTTATCATGTTTAATCGAATCCGGTGCAAATTCTAATCTCATAGATGAACAATGGGTTTGTAATCATTACCGATGGATTGTTTGGAAAATTGCGTGTATGATTCGATCTTTTCCACATGAATTTTACGGTTGGTGGAATCCTAGGAAGGTACTTGATCAATTACGATACAGGTAAGTAAATTTATTTGCACCTTAACTATGAGTATTTAGTAATGGATATGTTCATTTATTTTAGATATGAGAGAGAGATTAATAATTCACATCGTTCTGCACTTAAATTAATCATTGAAGGGGATGGAATAGCAAGTATGCCAATGGTTCTTTGTGTATCTGATATAATAGAAGAGGAAGTTACTTATGGTATTGTCTTCAATAGCATTGATCTAAAATATTTTGATCGATAATATCGGTTTATTGATTTTTTTTTTTTTTTAATAGAGGAAATTGGTATTAAAGAAAACGTACGCAAAACAATATATAGCCTTGAATTAACTGACATGTGGTATAAAATTCTGGCTGATGTTGATCAACCACTTCAACGAGCAATCTCTAGGTCTAAAATACGAATTGGTTACAAATTAGAAATTTGCGGAGCAAAGGTATTTCATAATTATTTTTGAAAGATATAAAAATGGCAAGTAAGTATTTAATGTTAATCTGAATTTTAATAAATAGATCGCTGGCTATTCTGTGAGAGTACCAGCTCTTGAAGTTCCTAATTCTACTCGCTTAAAACTTTCCGCAAATTCCACAAAACTTGCGCATTGGGATGCGAAATTGGGTTTTAGACGATTTTGCCCTTATGCCACATTGCGTAGTCTTTGTCCTGATGGAGGACATGTTTTTGCAGTAGATATTATAGTATTGCGAAAATATTCAATGATTTTTCGAGAGACCATGAAGGATGGTACAGTAATAAATCGCAATGAGCAAGAGGAAGAATATGCAAAAAATGAGCATGAAGTAAGTAAATTTTCACTTAATTAATTAATTAATTATTTTTTATTTATTTATTTTTGTACGAATAATATGTTATTTAAGAATTGGTTAAATAATAAAATCCAATCATTGATCAACGAGTATAAAACGCAACATAAACAAAAAAATAAATCAAATTCTGTTCTCAGAAAGCAAAGAAAGCAAGCAATACAAGGTAAATGATATTTCTATTGATTTATCTTTAGAAAACAAATAAATTAACAGTCTAATTTCTGTTAGAAGTTACTTCCGGAGAACAACTTTATATCATGATGCAAGACTGTCTCGAACCTTCCAAATTTTGGCAGGATTTATCTTTGGAGCAGACTGAATTACTTCAAAATTACATACAGAAAAAGGAACAAGAAAAAATAGATCGAATGAACAAATGGGTTTATGACCGTTTGGAGGTATGAGATTTGTCAAATCATTGAATATAAGTGAGGTTATTATTGTTTACTCTGCTTTATTTATTTTTAATCTTAGGAATTAAATTATACTCGTAAAATAATTCCATTTTTTAAAGTACGTGTCTGTGACTATCACCTTAATGAGACTCCTATTAGTGGACGCGAAGCCATAATCAACGTTTGGCAACCAAACGAATTATTGTTTAATACAATCAAAGAAGGGCGAAGATATAAAGTATAAGCAAATTTGATTAATATTATACTGTAAAGGAGAAATTCTAATATATATATTTCATTTTAAGGTTTATAATATAACAGCCAGAAACTATCCCACATCCTCTTTAGCACCTATACGCTTGTCATCAATGGGACATTCAACTATCTGGAAAGAAGCTAAGATAGATGATACTAGCGATTCATTATCTTTCTATTTATCAAGAACTGTGACATGTTTAGATGAACTCCAAAAAATGGAATTAAATAATGAGGTGGATCTAGTCACATACATTTTAGGTAAACATATCATATATTTTTGATCATAATTATTATAATTTGACGAATTTTCTTATAATAATTAGTCGTTGGGGAACCTTTTATATCCGGTCAAAGATTTGGAAAACCAATAAAAGTTCAAACTTTGTTAGTAACTGATAACAGTGGACAGTTGGCTCAAATCGAGATAAAAAATACATCATCTAGAGATTTATTTAAGGTATTATTATTATTCACCTAACTTTTAGCATTTAGCATTCAATATTATATTATTGATAAACATCACTAATGCTTTTATTATGATAGCCCAACAACATTTTAATATTTTTGAACTTGCAGTATCGAGCATATGATCCAAAGTACGGAATTTACATGCTTTCAACATGTGACGATACTGAAATTAAAAGATCAACACGTGAAGAATACATCATACAAGCCAAAGAGAATCTGGAAAATTGGATCAAAAATAATGATGATCTTGTGAAGAAGTGTGAAGCAACAGCCAAAAAGCTTTGTGAGCCCAAATTTAACAATTCTAGTAATTTTTCTTAATTATGGTATAATCGCTTGATATGTAAAATGGGCCAATAGTATAGAAATAAATGAAAGCAAAAGCATTTTTATATATCGGTAAAGATCATTTCACCATGTAAATTATTGGCAAATTTAAGGAATAGAGAAAATATTTTATTTTTACGTAATTATGCTAATGCTAATGAGTAAATTTAATATGAACAACTCAATTGTACAGATAAATTCTGTCATAATTTAAAATTTCAAAAAGTCGAAAATATTGTACAATAGAGAACTCCGGTTACCACTTCCTTGTTTCATAATTTAATAGTGTTGATTCTAAATTCCACAAGTACGATAATTTTTATCCATCTAACCTACATTAAATTTACTTTATATGCTCAATAGTTCTAGATTGGATGATTTGAAACAAAATACATAATAACTCGAAGAATAAATGAATTCGGTTTATATATACATTTACAGTATACGATAGGTAACCCATAAAGTTTCTTTCTCACAACACAAAGCCGCCCGAGAATGAGAATGTGAGATATATATATGCCTATGTATGTTTGTGATCGACTTCGTAAATGTCAAACAAAAAAAATTGATGAAATAAAAAAAGATAACAAAACTAAACATAGTATTATCAAAATATTGGTTTGTTAAAATAAATATCAACTTCATAACCAACCTTAATTTACAATTAATGAATTAACTTAAAATTAGCCGTTTCTTCGTTGATCTCTAGAAGTACCTTCATAACTACTCCTCCTAGAATCAGTTTGATCCCCAGCTAAAAGATGTGTTTCGGAACTATCAGACATAAAAGATGGACGTCCATAATATTGATCCGTTGAAGAATATGAAGGTGGTGGAACTGTTATATCCACCAAAGAAATGTCCAAAGCTGCCTCAGGGGGAACTCCTGTTATAATTCCACTATTTACATGCGTATATTGACGAGGAACATCCTCTGATAGATGTCCCCTGGAACTCGATTCTAATAAAAGAGAACCTCGTTCAGACCCGTACGCTGGTGGAGGAGCTAATGTTCCCATTGATGGTGCAAGCCCCCATTTTTTTACGTTTGCTTCAATAAAAACGAATCCAAGTTGACCAAAATTAACGTGAACACAACAAGGCCCATTTGCTCCAACTGTTGGGAAAAGGTTCATTTTCATTCCCGTAAATGCATCATCCAATTTTTTTCCATTACGCGTAAAGAAAACAGTGCCAGTTCTTGGTCGGTAACCAACACCAACAACATCACCCTGTTGAAATTGAGGTCCATATGTTTTACCATTAAAGGGCGAATTATAGTATTTAAACCCATTGTCCGAGAAATAAGCAACTGATTGACGATTCCATCCTATAAAAATGAAAAAAAAGATTGTTATTAATGAAACTGTATCAAAAGTTTCAGTGTAATATTAAAATGTTCAATTTAATTTCAATCACTCCACCCAGTAACTAAATACTTTTTTTTTCATACCTGGTAAGCGAAATAAAGGATAAGGCTTAGTTGCCAACCCCACAGCAACAGTCGTATTTGGTGGCTTATCATACATTTTAGCTTCCCAGTAATATACTTCTTGTTGTTTTGGTAACGGGAGGTTAGTCTGAACACAACATTCAGCATCGTAAAATGCGATTTCGGTACGACATTCTACGAAACAGTTAGTATGCTGAAGGTCTGGCTCAAATTCCCATGCTGAAACACCTTTTTCCTGAATCGAAAGAAATTGGGAAAGTGTGATTTCTGTAGGAATACTATCAGGTGGATATGCTTCTTGAAACACTGTACAAAATTTAAATCGAATAATTAAAAAAAAAATAATACATAAGCGAAAAAATTATCACTATAACTCACTCCGAGCACGTTCATAATTTTGTCGAGCTGCTTCATCTAAAGTCTCAACCAAACTAGCCTCCGCCCGAGCGATTTCGGGATCATATACATCAGGTATCCTATTTTTATCTACAGCAATCAATCGTCTTCGAATACCCAAAACAATAAATATAATAAGAGCACATACGGAACCAAGAATCACAAGCGTAACGACTGTTGAGCTTGAAGAATTTTCAAGTCGTATCTCAGAACTACTTTCTGAAACAACAACTAAAGGCTGTAAAGAACATAAAACTATTGACAGCACAAATAAACGATGCTTGTGTATAAAGTTATGTTTTATACCAGTGTTAGTAAGTCTCCATAGAAAAGACATTGTGAACGTATATTTGGTTTGTGCAATGAAATATACGCTTGATACTGTTGAAATCAAATAATTTATTTGGCATATACTGTTACGATGATGAGTTGTGAAAAAAGTTAAATTGTTTGTTTAAAAAATTGGTTCATTCCGTCAGAAACGACAGGTATCCCGCATTTTTACTAAAAATAGTTTACTAAAAATAGATTAAAAATGCAAATCATACAACTATTTGAAATTTTGAATCTTGGGGGTATACTACAGGGGCAAATTTAAAATGTTTTTTTTTAATTAATAAAGTGAACCATTTAAGTGTACCCGTTTTTTTGAATTACAATTTTATTATTAATAATTTTTTTAATTATTACTGTTTAATTTCCTGTATATTATTTCTATATTTTCAATTAAATTAAATTTCAAATCCAGAATTAATAGTTAGTTTAATAATTACTAGAAGTAAATCTTGAAAATTTTTTCAATTATTTAAAACTTATAAAAAAAGTACTAAAATATATAATTAAGATTTCTGCAAAAATTTCTTTAAAGATTGCCAATAATTAACTATTATTTAATTTATAACAATTTCAAAAGTCTTTTTTTATTTTTAAAATTATAAAGCAATTGAAAAAAAAAAATCATCTTTTATATTTATATAACCATATTTTTTATTTTTAAAAATTAAAAAATTTTAATAATATTTTTAAAACAAAAAATTTATTTTTTAAACTTATAATTTATATATAAATTATATATGAAATTTATTTATTAATTAAGGACCCCGGATATCTAATATAAAGGTCATAATGGACTTTTGGCCAAAAACACCCCTTTTTGCTGAAACTCAAAAAATCGTTTTTTGTAAATAACTCAGCATCCAGTAATTCAATTTTAATGAACTTTTTTTTATTTTGTAGCCCTCATTTAGCTCTACAATTTAAAAAAAGGTTCATCAAAATTGGACCACTGGATGCCGAGATATTTACAAAAAACGATTTTTTGAGCCCCCTGAAAAATGGGCCAATCTGCCGAAAGTGTGACTTATGACCTGTTTTGGAGATATCCGGGGTCCTATTAATTATATAAAATTTTCAAATAATTGTTTATTTTTTAAAAAAAAAGATAGAAATTAAACTCTTTATGCCAATCGTATTAGACCATTTTTTTATGAAATTTTAGAACCAATATTTTATTAAATATTTATGAAAAATGAGTTCCTTTACTAACAATATATATATTCCTATCATTACAGAAGAATTTGAAAGACTCGTTGATAATTATAATAAAAATGACTTTACTAATATACTCAAAAAGACTCTGAAAATATACTGCTTTACTAGTAAAACTGGCATATCTCAAGCCTTGTTAAAGTTTAATCCAAAAACATACAGTCATCTTAAAAAACTAAATACCTTATATTTGAATGAATTTTAACAATTAGAAATAGTAAATAGTGCAAAAATTTTACATTTTATATAGTTCTTTATTACCTATAAAGATCTTTGAACTACCAGTTTCAATGAAACTATTTGAAATGTATGTGAAAAAAAAATCACATGTTTAAAACGCAAAAATAAATCCAACTAATAACAGTTTAATCATTCAAAAAACTTAACTAACACAAATGGAAATTTTTAAAGAGTCATCACTGGTTATATCATCTGTAACATAAAGTAAATTCTTAATGTACAAGCCTAGCTATTTACTTTAAAAGGTAAGAATAAATAGATTTTCTATGCTGAGATCATCCCTGAATCAGGTTTTGATAATTTTTAACTTATGTCATTTATACTAGTAATTACTAAACAAAATGCTTATAATAATACTTTTAAAAAGAGTAGTATGTTAGCCAATAAAGGGTATGCTAGAAATCAGCTAATTTGAAAAAGGATATAAAGAGTTAAACTTTAAATCAAGTCTATCATATATCACATAATATTTATATATATAAATTTAAATATAAGTAATTTAATTATTTTTATTTATAATTATTATGATACAATTATATTGACTTCTAATAATCCAATTTTAATAAATTTTTTGTTTTAATTTATAGCTCTTATTTAATTTTACAAATTTAGCTTTATTATAAAATTAAAAAAAGTTTATTTAAATTGAATCACTAAAAGTTAAAATTAATGCTTCTAACAGATTAATTTGATTAGATTAGTAATACAATGCAACTTAAATTAATTGTAAAAAAAACCATTTTTTGTAAATATCTTGTGATCTAGCAATCCAATTTTGATAAACTTTTTTTATTTTGATCAACTTAATATAATCTACAAAACAAAAAAAAAATTATTAAAATTCAATCACTAGATTATAAAATAATATTTTTCAGATTCAGATCAAATCAAATTAGATTAAGATCAGATTACTAACATCCTGATTTAATCTGAATTTTAGGAGCATTTGTTAAGATAATTATATAATACTAATTATTATATATATTTAAGAGACAGATCATCATTCAACCAAAAAAATGATCAACATTCTATAATTAATTTTATGGGCTTTGTAATTAATAAAAAAAAATTTTTTGGAATTTCTTGTTCTTTACTATAAATTTTTTTCCAATAAGTGAAAAAAAAACAGTATACAATAACTTTTATGTCCAAAAAAAATATTTCATAAACTTGCACTATAGGTATACATATGTAGTTTTAGTAGGATCTGTACAAGTTTAACAAAAAATGTGAATAAAAAAAGAGAAGGTATTTCTCGAACAGATAAAATTACTTTAAATCAACTTTCAGAATTCAAAGTAAAGGACAATTCAAATCAACTTACAAATAAAGTTAAAGATTTACAAATAGAAAAAGTAGATTGATTACAAAAATCAGTCTTTTTGGCAAAGAAATCTATGGATACCTTTGTAAGGAAATACATATGTGAGGATTGGATTCTGATAGAAAAGAAAGTTGATAAGATTACGTTATACATGAGCAAAAAATTATTGGATTAATAGATACAAAAATAATATTTTTATTCTTTTCTCATTTATATTTATTTTTATTTATAATTTTAGACATATAATTTATTAATTATTGTTAATTTTAATTTTATTTTTAATTTTGTTTTTGTTTTTCTTTTAATGTTTTATTTTTGTTTATACTTTTAAATTATGATATATTATTTTGCTATGCTTTTTGGTTACTTTTATTCTTAATTTTAATTTTATTGGTAATATAATATCTAATGTTTGATTAGACTGGCCTGGAACTAGAAGTATCATTCATAGAATATTTGTGATTATTATGTAATCCAAATATATTCTAATAAAATGATACATGATTCAACATTTAAAAAAAAAAAAAAAAAAAAAAAAAAA